TGAGGAGGGAGCACAGAGCTTGGCTGAGGTTCCTGGGCTCTAGCTCAGTGCCTGTGAGCAGGCCAAACCCTCTGTATCTCAGGTTTCCTATCTGCAAACCAGGTGGAACAACAGCCCCTCCTGAATCTCTCAGGCCAAGAAATAGTAAGGGCTAGTCAGAGGATACTGTAGCTTTAAGGAGCACAGCAGAGTGCAGGTTAAACAGGCAGTTAATTGCCCCCCTTGCTCTTGGCTGGCAGGGTATCTGATTCCAATTCAGCTAATATGTTTCATACCATGTACTCATTTGGTCTCACTTTGTAGCCCAGGTTTCCCTGGAACTCATTACTTACCCCAGGCTGGCCTCAAACTTATAGTAATACTCTGACCCTGGTCTTTAGACTGCTGAGATTAAAAGGCCTTGGTGACCACACCTGACTCTCATTTGACCTTTGATTATTTCCTGACATATGTGCTGTCTTAGGCAGGACTCCCAATGTTTTTATTACAATATAAGACATCAGAAAAGAGTAAAGATCATAAAAGTATCTTGATGAACTTTGTTTTAATTAATTTATTTATTTATTTATTTTTGGTTTTTTGAGATAATCTCCCTGTAGCCCCAGCTGACCTGGAATCCAGTATGTAGACCAGGCTGGCCTCAGTCTCACAGAGATCTGCCTGCCTCTGCCTCCCAAGTGCTGGGATTAAAGGCATACACCACCATGCTCCGCTCCCTCTCTCTCCCTCCCCCTCTCCCCTTTTTCCCCTCTCCCCTTCTCCCCCTCTTCCCCTCTCCCCGTTTCCCCCTCTCCATTTGAGACAAGATCTCACTATATATCCTGGCTGACCTGGAACTCCTGTGTAGCTGAGGCTGGCCCTGATCTCCTGGCCTTCCTGCCTCTACCAGCTACGTGTGGGGATTTACAGGTGTGCACCACCACATGGGACTGATGACTTTTTTTTTCACAGTCGACTCAAATTTTATTATAATTATTTATTGATAATTTCATACATGCATACAGTGAAATATTATCATGCCCACTCCCCATATCCCCCCTCTAACTCCCTCATGTCTCCTGTGCTAGTTTGCTTTTCTGTTGCTGTGAGAAAACATTCTGACCAAAACCAACTTGGAGGGACTGATGACTTTTTACTGAACACATTCATGTAGAAATAACATGACCAGCACCCAGAAGCTCTGCTTACATTCTCTTCCACCTCTACCCACCCACCAAGGGAATGTACTGTTACTGGGTATGGTGCCTTTAAACCCAGCACTCAGGTGGCAGAGGCAGGCAGATCTCTGTGAACTTAAGGCCAGTCTGGTCTATATTATGTGAGTTTCAGGCCAGCCAGGGCTACCTAGTAAGAGAGGAAAAATAGTATAAACTGTCTAATCAGAACTCTGGGCTGTTGTAGAAGTTCACTTTGCAACTGGCTTACGCAGAAATGGGATACTTTCCCCAGTGGAGAAATCCAGGGGAGAATTTTGTACACTTGGATCCAGAGGTTTGGCTGATGAGGTCGGCTTGCTTGGCATATCTTGGTTTGCTTTTTTCTGTGGTGCTTTATACCCAGGCAGTTTCTCTGTCCTGTGGAATTTGGCAGGTGTTTAAGTATTAAGCTCGTTCGGGGATGGGTCAGGGATCAGAAGGGCTAAGTATGTAGACTACACAGATGTGACAGTCTTGGAACACATTTCCCCTAGCAACCAGGGAGCATTCACTATATCAGCTACTTTCAAAACACACACACTTTGACTGGATGAGCAATGCAGACCTAGGGAAAATCTAGAGGCTGCTTTTCCTTTGGTTGGTGTTTCTGTTTGTCTGTTTTTATTTCTGTTATTTTCTTTTTGTCTTTTTGAGACAGGGTCTCCTTGTAGCACCAGCTGGCCTGGAACTCACTATGTAGACCAGGCTGGCCTTGAACTCACAGAGATCCTGCCTCTGCCTCCTGAGTACTGGGATTAAAGGCATGCGCCACCACGCCCAGTGACCTTTATTTTTTATTTTTATTTTTTTTACATTTGACAAAGGCCATCCTGTAATCTAGACTGGCCTTTAACTCACCCACAGTGCAACTGAGGATGATCTTGAACTCTAATCCTCCTGCCTCTACCTTTCAAGGGTTGGGATTACAGGCCTGTGCCAAACTGCCCAGTTTAGCAGCTGTTTTGCAAAGAACAGGTACTTAGTAGATACAATCATGCCAAGACTACCTGGGCAGTCCCAAGCCATACACCAGATACCTGAGCACTGACACTTGCAAAAAGAAAAAAAAAAAACAAAATACCCACACAATTCCAGCTCATATTGCCTATAGGGCAGAGTGGTGAGTCTTAAGAGAGGCTCCCAGCAGGTACCCTCAGAGGAGGCAGGTAGGAGACAGGGCTGGGCACTGCACAGCAGAGGGAGGGTTAGTAGGAACATGGATGCTCTTTTGATGAGCTCTAATGATTCCTGGTCATCTGACACACCTCTGCTAGATGGGAATTATGGGCAGTGAGGCTGGAGAGCTGAGTAGACTGGCATGATGGACTATGTGCTTTAGGTAGTTCTGGTGGTACTGTACAAGATGGATTGGCAGGAGTACAGGGGTAGAGGGAAGTACAGGAGGGAAGTAGGCATGGCCCTCCCAAGGCTCAGTGTCTGGACTGTTCTCCAAGACTCCCATCCATCTGGTCCCCTGACCATCCATGGATGTGTCTTAATGTTCCCAGGTAGACTGACAGCTCAAGTAGGACAGAGAGCCTTTGCACTGGGCCTCCTATATTGACCTCCTACTTTTATTATTATTATTATTTATGATTTTTTTCTCTTCCTTTGTCTATTTTCCATACGTTTTATTTTCTTTTTGAGACAGGGTCTCCCTGTAGTCCCAACTAGCCTAGAACTTGCTATGTAGGCCAGACTGGCCTTGATCTCACAGAAATCCTCCTGTGTCTGCCTCCCGAATGCTGGGATTAAAGGCCTCTGTCATCACACCCACTCCCCCTACTTCCAACTCCTAGCCAAGATAGGGTCTCACTATGTAGTCCCAACTGGGCCTGGAACTCAATTTGTAGCCCTGCCTGGCTGGCTTCAAACTCAAAGAGATCTGCCTGCCTCTGCCTCTTGTATGCTGGGATTTCAGGCCACTGTGCCTGGCTTTTGTTCTGTTTTTCTAGATTCCCTCTATTTTGTTTTTCATTTCTTTCATTGAAATTTTAATCTATAAGGGGATCAAATTACAAGGAAAAGTTTATTACACTTTGGGTTTTTTGTTGTTATTGTTTGTTTTGCTTTTTTTTGAAATCAGATCTCATGTAGCTCAAGCTGGCCTGAGTCATCCTGCCTCAGCCTCCCAGGTGCTGAGATTATAGGCATGAGCCACCACAGGCAGCTTTTATTAGTTTTGATATGGAGGATAACCACATTTTCACTACAAGAAAGGAAATGTATACCTAGTACATCTGTCAACTATTTTTAAAAATCATATCTTGTAAATTTTTAATATTGATTTAACCAAAAGTTATATTATTAGGCATCTAAGAAACATGTGTATATGTAAGATAGGTTTATCCTTCATTGTAGTAAATCACTAGGAAAAATTCCATAAATTGTAACAGTAACAACTTAAGCTTTTTTTTTTTTTTTTGCTTTTTTGCTTTTTTAAAGAAAGTGAGAAAGTGGACCAGTGAGATGGCATTTGTCACCAAACCTGACAGCCTGAGTTGTCCCCAGGACCATATGGTGAAAGAAGAGAATAGAGTCCCACTGGTTGTCCTATGGCCCCTATACACTACCTCTGAGCTATCTACTGGCCCCGTATTTGTTTGAGACAGGGTCTCATGCAAACCAGGCTGGCTTCAAATTCCTTAGTAGGTGAGGATGACCTTGAATTTACACTCTCTTCCAGCTCTTACACAGCATTCCTTACCATGCCTGGTTTGGAGGAGGGAGGCTAGGGATCAAACACAGGGTCTCTTGTAGGCCTGGAAGTGGCATCCCCTCCACTGTATTTTTTGAGAACCTGGACCTGTTTCTTGCTGATCAGCAAGCCCCCAGACTGTCTGTCTCTACCTACCAGTTCTGGGGTTACAGACATGGGCCATTATACAGGTTTTTTTGTGGGTTCTGGGGATCCAAACTTGGGTCCTTAAGCTTTTAGAGCAAGCACTTTGCTCACTGAGGTATTTTCCTAACCCCTGGGCCTTTTTGTTTATTCTTGTGTAGGAAGAAATTCATGTGGGAATTGAACCCACACATACACACACACACATACACATACACACACACACACACACACACACACACACACATGCGTGCACACCAGGCAAGCATTCTACACTGAGCTATACCCCTAACCCTACCTGGCTTTTGTTGACTGGTTATATGTGAGTCTGAGTTGTGTCAATGAGAGCAGATAATTATCTCTACCTTCTAGGAAGGTTGAGATGATAAAACTTGATCATGAAGATAAATTACACAATGCCTGCCCCCAACTGCTTAACTTTGAACCCTCTGGCAGTTCACCTGTGTGTGAACATTGGTGTAGATAATCCAAGATATCCTTTGTGGCATAAGATATTTCAAAGTTCTTCCTAGTTCCTAGGAACCAGGAATAGGACCAGATAATACTTCCTGTAGTACTGAATCTCTTAAGTAGGAAGAGCTCCTGCTTTCCTAGAACACAGGTGACAAACATATTGGCTTGGGGTCAGGATACTCCCTCTTGGCCAAGGCAGTTGCCTTTGGTTTGAGCTAAAGGGACGGGGTCCTGCACTCTGAGGAGCAGTCAGAGATGAGAGAGGCCTTCAGGCTGTGACCGGAAGTGCCAAGCTTTGAATCCCGTAACTAAATACTGAGGTCATAAGCCGGCATGGATGTAAAGCATCTAGCACTTGCTGACAAATCTGAGTCTTCTTTCTGTCTGGTGCCCTGTCCTCAGAGGAGCCAACAGCCAGCAGCCTAGGAGTATCAGAAATGTGTGCAGAGCAAATAGGTAGTCATCTGTCTGTCTTCTTGGTTTTCCAGGACTGGGCCCGGGATCCAGGAAGAAGCTCCACAGTCAGCAGGTAACAGCTTTTGAGCTCCAGAGGTCTCCTGTTGAGGGGAAAGGACAAAGGAGGGATCTGCCTACAGTTTAGACCTCAGCTTCCCCACCATGGTGAGGTTTACAGGGGAGCAAGTTAGGCTGGAGGCAAATGCTATAAAAACAAGAAGGAACTGTTCCAGTCTCCTCATTTCAAAGCCACCCTGGGTGAAGACCATTTGCAGAAGTAATCAGTGCCCAGAGTAAAAAAACCTTGGTGTACGGGAGCTGGACCCAGTGTTGCTCCTGCTGGACAAGTGTCACCCATTAAAGGGTGTACAGGTAGTTAGGCACTAGAAGGGATTTGGGGGTGCATAAGTGACTTCGGGCTATCTCATATAGGCAGAGACCTCCATGCCAAGCCCTCTTCTTTATTTTTATTTTATTTTATTTTATTTTAATTTTATTTTACGTGCGTCCACAGAGGTCAGAAAAGGGCATTGGATCCCCTGGAACTGGAGTTACAGACAGTTGTTAGCCACCATGTGGGTGCTGGGAATCGAACCTGGGTCTTCTGCAAGAGCAGCCAGTGCTCTTAAATGTTAAGCCATCTCTCTAATCCCCAAGCCCCTCTTCTTAAGGTGTTTACAGCATCATCCCTCATAACAACCCTGAGAAGTTAAATGTTCCAACTGAGCATGGTGATACATGCCTATAATCCTAGCTAGCACTTGGGAGGCTGAGACAGGAGGACACAAAATTCTATGCCATGGGGATGGAGATGGGGCTTGATGAGTTGAGTGCTTGTTTAGCACAAAGCCTAGGGTTTGATCTCCAGCACCTCATACACTGGGCATAGTGGTGCAGGCCTACGATCCCAGCACTTAGAAGAAGGAAGCAAGAGGATCAGAAATTCAAGTTCTGAGTCATCTGCCTCTACATAGTTAGAGGCCAGTCCAGGCTACACGAGGCATTGTAAAAAAAAAAAAAAAAGATGTTGCAATCTCCCTTTACAGAAGAGATTACAGAACCTACAGAACCTCAGAGAGCTCAAACCACTGGCCTCAGGCTTTCAAGCTCCTACATTGAGCACCTGTAGAACTGAGACTCAAAGCCAGCTCTCCCTCCTTGGAGAACCTATCAGTTCACATCCATTTGGAAAACTGCCCAGCTCAGGCCAGTGGCAGGGCTGATCTGCTCCCACCCTGGGGATCATTCTGTGTCGGAGGGACTGTCTTCCTTGCGGGGCTCTGACCAGCCTTCCTCCTATGTTCTCAGGTCTGAGGAACTTGCAGGTGCCTCTCATGGACTTATGATCAATACAGCAGATCTTCCAGCCCTGGACAGCAGTGAGTACCCCTGGCAGGGAAAGGGTCAGCAGCCTGCCACAGGTGCACTACTGCTCTGCTGTCTAGCTCCATCTTGCCTCTCATTAATGGGGCTCTTCAGAAACTCTCACGGCTCGCAGAGGACACAGTGATTCCAGAACCCATGCTGCCTTCAGCATTTTACTGAATGCCTCTCTCTCTCCTTCCTGTGTGTGTGTGTGTGTGTGTGTGTATGTGTGTGTGTGTGTGTGTGTGTGTGGATGTTGCTGGGAATTAAACCTAGAGCCCTGAACATGCAAGGCAAGAGCTCTACCACTGTCCCACTGCACTAATCTCCAGCCCCTTTGTGTTTCTTTCTTTTCTTTTCCTTTTTTTTCAGGCTGCCCTTGAACTCACAGAGATCCACCTGCCTCTGCCTCCTGAGTGCTGGGATTAAAGGCGTGCACCACCATGCCTGGCTCTTTCGTTTTTCTGAGTGAGAGTCTCAGGTAGTTCAGGCTGCCCTCACAGTTGCTAGGAAGCCAGCAATGACCTTGAACTTCTGATCAACCTACTTCCATTTCCTAAGTGCTAGAATTATAGGCATGTACCAGCATACCCAGTTTATGCTATGATAGGGTTTGAACTCAGGGTTTTGTGGTTGCTAGGAAAATACTCTGTCCACCACCATTTAATTTTTTATATGTGTGTGCATGCACACCTATGCCACATCATACATTAGAGGTCAGAGGACAACTTTCAGGAGTCGGATTTGACCCTCCACCAGGTGGGTTCTGGAATCGAACTCAGGTCATCAGGCTTGGTGGTAAGTGCGTTTACCTGCTGAGACATCTCGCTGGCCCTGCTTTAAATTTTTTTTTTTTTTTAATGTGTGTGAGTACTCCTTATGTGTGTAGGCGCCTTCCTCTTACACGTGTTTGAGTCACCCAATACAAATCCTGTAGGCTAGGCACCAGTATTACCCTGTTTAACAGATGGGTAAATTGGGATACAGAGGGATCAAGCTTTGTTCCTAAAATCGAGAGCAGGTAGTAGTGGTGTCGCACATCTTTAATCCCGACACTCTGGAGGCAGAAGCAGGTAAACTCTCTGTGAGTTCAAGGCCAGCCTGGTCTACATAGTGAATTCCAGGCCAGACAGGGCTACATAGTGAGACCCTGTTTCAACAAAACAAAACCAAAAAAAAAGTATGAGTAGAAAGTGTGGGGCTGGAGAGATGGCTCAGCGGTTAAGAGCACTGACTGCTCTTGCAGAGGACCCGGGTTCAATTCCCAGCACCCACATGGCAGCTATGAATTGTCCTTAACTCCAGTTCCAGGGGAATCTGAAGCCCTCTTCTGATCTCTACGGCATTGCACGACATGGGTGCATTCACATACATGCAGGCAATACACTCATATACATAAAATAAAAATAATAAATAAAATATCTTTGAAAAAAAAAAGAATAGAAAGTGGAAGAGACAGGATTCAACCTGAAGGAGCCTGGCAGTGCTCAGACATGGCCAGTCACCTAAAGTGTCTCCATAAGAAGGATTCTCTTTTTTTTTTTTTTTTTTTTTTTTTTTTTTTTTTTGGCCCCAGCTGTTCTGGAACTCACTATGTAGAACAGGCTGGCCTTGAACTCACAGAGATCTGCCTCCCTCTGCCTCCCAAGTGCTGGGACTAAAGTCGTGGGCCACCACACCCAGCCTAAGGATTCTTAAGCAAAAGGCAGGATTTTTGTTTGAAAAATATTTTCCACTGGGCGTGGTGCTGGGGATCAAATTTGGCTTCATGAATGTCACTCTACGACTGAGCTACATCCCCAGCCGAAGGCTTATGTTTTAACTTCTGATTCCCAGAATGGTGTTCATGGAGACCATTATGAGGGTCTGGCCTGAAGGCTGATCACTGCCGGCCCTGGGCAGTGGTTGGGGCCTGGGAGGTGAGTGCAGGCCGCAGTCCCTCACCCTGTCTCTCCTTTCTCACAGGTCCTGACCGGAGGAGGCATGCGGCTGCCCCGCTTCTCCAGCACTGTGGTGCCGGCGCTCCTGCTGGCACAGACCTGCGTCCTGCTCTTCCTGGTGTCCCGACCAGGACCATCCTCTCTAACCCGGAGCGAGGAGCGAGTGCACGTGCTGGTGCTGTCCTCGTGGCGCTCGGGCTCCTCTTTCGTGGGCCAGCTCTTCAGCCAGCACCCTGACGTCTTCTACATGATGGAGCCCGCTTGGCACGTGTGGGCCGCCCTGTCACAGGGCAGTGCCCCAGCCCTCCACATGGCGGTGCGAGACCTGGTCCGCTCGGTCTTCCTGTGTGACATGGATGTGTTTGATGCGTACCTGCCCTGGCGCCGCAAGATCTCCGATCTCTTCCAGTGGGCGGTGAGCCGTGCCCTGTGCTCACCACCGGCTTGCAATGCCTTCGCCCGCGGTGACATCAGCAGCGAGGCGGTGTGCAAGCCGCTGTGCGCACGGCGGCCCTTCGACCTGGCACAGGAGGCCTGCCGCTCCTACAGCCACGTGGTGCTCAAGGAGGTGCGCTTCTTCAACCTGCAGGTGCTCTACCCGCTGCTCAGCGACCCGGCGCTCAACCTGCGCATCGTGCACCTGGTGCGCGACCCGCGGGCGGTGCTGCGCTCCCGGGAGCAGGCGGCCAAGGCGCTGGCGCGCGACAACGGCATCGTCCTGGGTACCAACGGCACCTCGGTGGAGGCCGATCCCCGCCTGCAAGTGGTCAGCGAGGTGTGCCGCAGCCACGTGCGCATCGCAGAGGCAGCTCTGCGCAAGCCGCCGCCCTTCCTGCAGGGCCGCTACCGCCTAGTGCGCTACGAGGACCTGGCGCGGGACCCGCTCCCCGAGATCCGTGAGCTCTACGCCTTCACCGGCCTGAGCCTCACCCCGCAGCTGGAGACCTGGATCCACAACATCACGCACGGCTCCGGGCCAGGCGCGCGCCGCGAGGCCTTCAAGACTACATCCAGGGATGCGCTCAACGTGTCCCAAGCCTGGCGACACACGCTGCCCTTCACCAAGATTCGGCGAGTGCAGGAACTGTGCGCAGGCGCACTGCAGCTGCTGGGTTACCTGCCTGTGCACTCTGAGCAGGAGCAACGTGATCTCTCTTTGGACCTCCTGGCGCCGAGAGGCAGGGAAAGTTTCAAGTGGGCATCGCCCACCGATGCTCCGCCCGAGTCTTAGGTCCCATTCTGATGGATGGTAGTCAGGGGCTGGAGGAGAACAAAGGGCTTGGTAAGCCTGGAAGAAAGGTTACCAGCGTCTGGGAGTGGGAGGTTTGCCCTGTTCGAGGAAAGGACTGAGTTCAAATTCCTTCTTTCCCGTTTCTTGTCTTTTCCTTTGAGTTCTGTAGGAGCTGGGTTCCCATCAGGTACTCTGTTGTGGAAAGTGGAACTTGAGCCCCCATTTCCTCCCTGTTTTGGTTGTACCAAGCAGTAGCAGAAAAAGGTGTCCTCGACCCGGTTGGGAGTGGTAGAGCACTTCTGTGGGCAGGTTCCTATAGTGTGTGCCCCAGCCTCTCATTTACCCACCCTGGCCTCCGTCCATACCCTAGTGCCACACCCCGTCAAAGCCAAGGGCAGATATATATATATTCTCCCTGACTTGCAAAGTCAAGAAGAAATCAGAAGTATCTCTTGTGGCCTACACTCAGACTCTCTGCTTAACGCTGAGGAAGGAGCCCAGGCACACACCCCATCCTCCCTGCCTGAGGATGATGGATTTTTAATGAGGCTTTGATTTGTCTGAGGTAAAAGATCCTAATTATTGAAATAAATACATAAATAACCTGATACAGATTAGAGTCTGTAGCCTATCGTTCTTTGAAAAGCACCTCAAGCAGTCAAAGGCAGGCCTGGGGAGATAGCTCAGTGTTCTAGAGATCTGGCTGCTCTTGCAGAGGACCAGGCTTTTCAGTTCCCAGCACCCACATGACAATTAACAACTGTCTGTGACTCCAGACTGGATCCAGCACCCTCTTCTGGCCTCAGTGTGTCCACAGTGCAGTTACATGCAAGCAAAATGCTCATACACATAAAAATAAAATCTTTTAAAGCAAAAACAAGGGGCTGGAGAGATGGCTCAGCATGACTGCTCCTGCAGAGGACCTGGCTTCAATTCCCAGCACCTACATGGTGGCTAACAACCATCCTTAACTCCAGTTCCAGGGGATCTGATCTCTGAGGGCAATGCAGGACACAGGTGCACTTACATACGTGAAGGCAATATGCTCATACACATAAAGTAAAAATAATAAAATATTTGAAAAATAAATAAAAGCAAAGGGCCTGGTCCGAGGTCACATAATGAGGAAAGGGTGAACGAAGGAGGAGGATTTTGCCCTGGGGCTGCAGCGGGTAAGGTGATTCAGGGCTGCAGCAAGTGAGAAGGTGCCTCCTAGCAGGCAGCCCCCTCCCTCATTTTATTTGCTCCAGAGAAGGATAGTCTGAGTCCTGGTTGGAAATATACCTGGAGCAAAATTCTGGATCCAGAACATAGAATCTAGACCTGTCTGAGCCTGGAGGGGAACAAAGAAAAGGGAGAGGGCTCAGGAGGTCTGGGCAGCAAGCCAAGCATGGCCAGTGGCAGAGTAAGAGCTTGGAAGAATCATTGTCCGGAACGGCAGGTCATGGGGTGACTGGAACTCAAGCTTGCCGGTGATAGGTAAAAATTCAGATGGAGAGCGAGTGCGTAGATGAAATTCTCAGCGGGATACAGATTTATTTCGGAAGGGAAGGGAAGGGAAGGGAAGGGAAGGGAAGGGAAGGTGGGGAAGGGGGAAAGGGGAAGGGGGTTAGGAAGGGAAAGATGTCCAGGAAAGATGTCCACCCACGGGTTGTGAGCTGGGACTTTATATATGGGGGCTTTAGGGTGTGGAAGGGGGAATGTTTGGGAGAGAAATCAGGGAGGGGGTAGCAGGTAGTATTAGGGTGTGGAAGTATTTACTTTTTCCCTCTTAAGATGAGAGAAAAACAGCTTCTAAAATCTCTGGTTATCAGGTAGAATCTGCTTATCTTATCTTTGGAGATCAGAGGAAAGGCAGGCTGCTTCTCAGCAGAGTCTGTAGGTCCCTGTTGGGGAGGGGGGAAGCTGTTGCTATTTGGAACCCTAACAGCCGGAAGCTTAGAAGAGACTTTAAGGGTGGTTCTGTTTTTTGTTGGTCCTTCCGGGCCAAGCTCTGGAAGCCAACAGAGTAAGATTCCTTCCTGCAAACCACAACACTTTGCTCCAGAAGCAAAGGTTCCTTAAAGGGATGCTGGGTGTACAGAAAGCTTAGTCCTGAACTCGGGCAACAAAAGCCAGTAAGTGTACAGTAAATGTTTAAAAGAGGGGTTGGTTTCCTAGAACTTCTGGGAAGAACAAGGAAGTGAATTCAAGTCCACACCAAACACTCCAAATCACACTGGGGCACCTGCTGATCCAGGAACTCTAAAGGTTGTCATAACATTGTCACTATCAACTGCCGGAAGGAATTCTGATAATTACCACCATCTGATTCTTGGCACAGTATGCCCTTCAATTGGTGGGACTTGGGGCAAAGGGTATTGGAGGGAACAGAGATATATTGATGCTTAAGCTAATGCCCCAAGACACGATTTGAGGACTTTAATCTCTAATAATGGCCTTTATATATATTTTTTTATTTTTTATTTATTTTATTTTTTAAATTTTATTTATTCTTATTTTATGTGTATGCATGTATTGCCTGCATGTAGGTAAGTGTACCCATGTCGTGCAATGCCAACGGACATCAGAAGAGACTGTTGGATCCTCTGGGACTGGAGTTACGGACAGTTGTTAGCTGCCATGTGGGTGCTGGGATTCAAACCCAAGAACAACCAGTGTTCTTAACCGCTGAGCCATCACTCCATCCCCATTTTTTTTTTTTTAATTTTTGAGACATAGGGTCTCGTATATCCCAGGCTGACCTCAAACTTCCAATGTAGCTGAGGATAATCTAAAATTTCTTTGAGTGTTTGTGTGCATGTGTGCACATTTGTGTGTGTGAATGTGGGTTCACACATGCCACAGCATGCATGTGGAAGTCAGAAGATAACCTTGGGTGTTAGTCCTCTTTCTGTCTTCTTTAAGATACAGTCTCTGTTGTTTTCTGCTCCGTACATCAGAGCAGCTGGCCTGGAGCGTCTGGGAGTCTCCTGCTTCCACATTCTGTCGTGTTCTAGGAGCACTGGGGTTGCAGACAACTTGTGATACGGGTAGACTTTTTTTTTTTTTTTTTCAATTTATTTTGGTCTTTTTGAGGCAGGGTCTCTTTGTAGTACAAAGAAGAACTCACAGAGATCCTCCTGCCTGTGACTCTTGAGTGCTGGGATTAAAGACATGTACCACCATGCCCAGCCCTAGGTTGACTTTAATAATGGGTTATGGGGCTTTGAACTCAGGCCCTCACACTTGCATGACAAGCACTTTTTATACACTGAGCCAGCTCCCTCGCCCAACCAGGAACTTCTGATCCTCTTGCCTCCACTGAGTGCTGGGATTACAGGCTTATGCCACCACACCTGGTTTATGTGGTGCTGGGGACAGAACCTAGGGTGTCATACATGTGGACAAGCTTAAGAGCTATACCTCTAGCTCCTCTTTCAAGCATTAGGAGCTTCAGGCCACATAAAGTCTGGATCCGACAACTCTGGCAACAGCATGACGATGGTATTTAAAACCCTAATTTTATTAATGGGCAGATTAGAAAGTGACCTTAATCTACTTGGGCTAATATAACAAAATACCTTAGACTGTGTGTAAGTAGGTGAGAGTAGAGTATCCAAGAGAGCCACTAAGGGTAGGAAACATGGCAGTGGGGAGAGGGGCTCATGGGGTAAGAGCCCTGGCTATTCTTGCAGAAGACCCAGGTTCGGTTCTGAGCACCCATATGGCAGCTCACAACCTGCTTTTAATTCCTGTTCCAGAGGATTGGGCACCCTCTTCTGGCCTCTACAGGAATTGAATGCACATGGTGCCTTAACATACATGCAGGCAAAACACTCACACACATAACTTAAAAATAAAATCAATTTTTAAAAATGTAAAGGGAGGAGAGACATTTGCTTTAGCTCAATTTTCAGAGTATCAGTCCATCCCATTGGAGTGCGGCATGGTGGAGCAGCATAATTTACATCACAGTGGCCAAGAATCAGGAAAAAGGGGGATACCGGAAGGGGCCAGGACAAGATACAGTCTTGAGGACACACTTGTAGTGATGTGCTTCTTTTAACTTGGTCCTGCCTCCTACTTTTGACCATCTTCCAATAATTCCATCATATTGGGAATCATTCAAGCAGTTAATCCATTCATTAAGACAGAGTCCTTATGGTCTAATGATCTCAGATAAAGCCCTCCAAGACACACCCAAAGCTGTACTTTACAGACAGGTTCAGAGTATACCTTACTAATCTCTTAGTAAGTTGAGTCTCAGTCCAGTAAAATTGACAATTAGGATTAATCATCACAGTCTGCGTGACTTATAAACAATAGGTCAAGGTGTGGCTGTGTCTGGTGAGGCTCACTTCCTTGAAGATGGTATCTTCTAGTCCTTACCAAGTGAGAAAGGACAGGGAAGCTCTCTCAGGCCCATTTATTTATGTGTATTTTATTTATTATTTTTATTTTATATGTATTACTTGCATGTATGTAAGTGCACCCGTGTCATGCAATGCCTGTGGAGGGCAGAAAGAGGGCATCAGATCCTCTGGAACTAGAGTTACAAACTGTTGTTAGCCACCATGTGGGTGCTGGGAATCAAACCCGGGTCCTTTGCAAGAGCAGCCAGTGCTCTTAACTGCTGAGCCATCTCTCCAGTCCTGTTAATAATTTATTTTTAAGACGAGGACTTCTTATGTATTAATATAACAGCCCTCATTGGCCTGGAATTTGCTATGTAGCTAAGTAGCCTAAATTTGTGGCAATCCTCCTACCTCTTCCTCCTGAGTGCTGATATTATAGGCCTGCACCACCCCACCTAGCCTTGGGCCTGTTTTGTAAGCCACTGTGTGAGGCTTCACCCTCTCAGCCTATCTCATTACCTAAGGCCCACTCCTACTGCCATCACCGGGAGGGGTTAGGATTTATTCCTTCTTTTGTTTTCTTCTCTGACCAGCTCATTATGTTGTCTAGGCTGGCCTCAAAACTCTCAATCCTCCCGCCTTAGCTTCCTGAGCACTGAGATTCCAGATGCATGCCACCACACCCAACACAGGACTGCAACATATGTATTTAGGGGAAACCCATTCAGTCCACAGTGGAAAGACTTAGGTCACATAGCTTAGTACATGGGCTGGAATTCAAATTCACAGCTTTGACTTCAGCAATAATGGCCCCAGCAAATAAACCACACTAGAGATGAAGGTGAACGACAGCAGACCTCACCACAGATTTGGGAAGTCAGATCACTTAACTTTGAGCGTGACATCAGTCACTCAAACTTAGAGCGCCATCCCAACATTTATCTGCAAATAAATATCTCAATGGCCAAAATATTGAGGAATGTGGCGGGCAGTTGACTGGGACATTGAAGTTCCCCTGCATGATCCCTAGGAACAAACTGGCCCAGTTACTGTGGTCTGCTCAGGCACAGGAGGAGGAAGAAGACACTCAGGATGCCAGAGGCTAAGAACGAGAAGATTCTGATCCCTAGTGGGATCCAGGAAAGCTTTAGTGTGAGGCTCAGTGCTTCCCCTGACAGCAGCATCCCACAAGTTTCCTTTACCATCGCTCAGGTCCTGCATTCTAATGATATTCACAGTGAACGGCTTCTGTAGTCTACATGCTTTGCCAC